TCTATATTCCTCCCAGGTGGCCAGTCCCTTTTTCCACATACTGTAAACTTCCTTCTTCCCTTTGAGTTTTTCCAGGAGCTCCTTGCCCATCCGTGCAGGTCTCCTGCCTCCTTTGCTTGATTTCTTACTCATAGGGATGCACTGATTTTGAGCTAGGAGGAAGAGGTGCTTGAATATTAAGCAGCTCTTTTGGACCCCCCTACCTTCTAGAGCCCTAACCCATGGGATTCTCCCAAGCAGGTATTTGAAGAGGCCAGAGTTAGCTCTCCTGAAGTCCAGGGTTGTAATCCTACTTAACTGCCCAGCTTCTTCCACGGAGGATCCTGAACTCCACCATCTCATGGTCACTGCAGCCAAGGCTACCCCCAACCTTCACATCCCCAACCAGTCCTTCCTTGTTAGTACAAGGTCCAGCAGCACCCCTCTCCTTGTAGGCTCTTCCACCACCTGTGTCAAAAAGTTGTCGTCAGTGCTCTGCAGGAATCTCCTGGACTGTGCATGCCTAGCTGTGTTGCCTTTACAGCAAATATGAGGGTGTTTGAAGTCCCCCATAAGAACCAGGGCCTGTGATTGTGAGGCTATTTCCAGCTGTCTGTAGAAGGCCTCATCGGCTTTCTCTCCCTGATCCGGTGGCCTGTAGTAAACACCCTAGTAGCCTGCCCCTTAATCCTTACCTGTAAGCTCTCAACTCTTTCTTCATCCACTCCTATGCAGAGCTCGATACATTCCAGTTCTCTCACATAAAGAGCAACTCCACCACCTCACTTTGCTGGCCCCTTTTTCTTTCCTAAAAGGTACAGAGCCGTCCATGACAACAGTCCAGTCATGCGAGCTATCCTACCATGTCTCTGTAATTGCAATGAGATCATGGCCCTGCGACCACACACAGATCTCTAGTTCTTCCTGTTTATTTCCCATGCTGTGTGCGTTGTTGTACAGGCATTTCAGAGAGGTAATCGAGCATGGAGACTTCCCTGGACAGGTGCAAGAGGGTCCATCATAGCTACACACAGCCTTGAGGTGGTTGGCCTTTTGGCTTTCATCTTGAAAGGCAGCTAAGGAACATTTATCAATGTTCGGGTTGGCCTGGCTTATTCCCCAGTTGGATGCAATGGTATGAGCATTGCTACTTTGGACCCTGCCCCCCAAGTCCTTCAGTTTAACTTCGGTTATGTTATTTTGTTTCATATTCTTTTACATCTGCCACATGTGAAGTCCTGTTAGGTGTGCCTACCTTCTTTATGGGCTTTATTTTTAATAAAAGAGAGTCATGCTTGAGTAACTAAGTAAATTTTCTACTTCTTTCTAATATGTGCTGCATTTCCAGAAGAGGAAAAACAGGATAGCCAGTCTTTCCTTGAGGTTAATATCTCACAATTCTTTTGTTAACTTTTTTGGAAGAGATTTTTTGCAACAAAGTTGTTCTGAAGGTTAAACCAAGGCTTGAACTGACAAGGCTTTTGTAATCTTAGTTCTTTCTAAGGTAGTATGCTATTAGAGGGTATTTATTTCTTTACAGTCATGTTTTTTCTATAGCAGTAGTGTTGTTAATATAATTGAAGTGTGTGCCAGATAACTTGCTGTATTCATATTATCAGTTTGATAACTGAAATGTCTGTCATGTTCTCCGTTTTGTCAGTGTTGTAGATCTTACACTGGAGTCCCCACTTTGCTTCAAACTACTTGTCTGCTGGAGAACCTTCTGGGAAATACCTGGCTGTTCTGTTAAGTGCTGCAAAGATGGTTTTCCTCAAACTTTCCTGTCTCTCTAGAAGTGAGAGTTTTTCTTAGCAGAAAGAGTACAATGTGAGGCAAAGTTGCTGTGATTGCTGTTTTTCATACATGCATAGAATAAAATGGGTTTAGAGCACTTTGTAGTTAGGCAGCCTTATTATGAAGGTCTGCCATTGCTACAGAATTGTTAACGTGGTAGTAGTGTCATTACGTCCTGGTTTCTTCACACACAAATTGTCTATCTTTCTGCACAGCACACCTCGCTCACCTCTGAGTTACTGTTCACAGTATAGCTGAATAGAAATATTCATTGCCAGTGAGGTACCAGAGGTTTCCTGGGCTAGTCTCATGATCTTTCCTGTCCACATAGTGAGCTTAGTTTTGGTAGAGATTTACCTTGAGTGTGTAGCCATCTGCACTTGCAAAATTAAAACTTAACTTCCCAAAATGACTGGAAATATGCTTGTATTGTTACTGCTTGTTCTCCAGAGAATTGAAGTAGAACATTCTGGAGAGCTCTAAGGCTGCTCACCTGGGATCTTTTCTTGTGGTGTGATGGGATATGTAACAGGTCCAAATGCGGTGTGAGCCAGGGAAACTCCCACCCATTACCCAAGGCAGGCCAAAGCATAGAAATCAGCCAAACTGTATTTTCAGAGAAACCAAATTATGAGGAAGTTATTTTCCTCTCCTTTTATGTTCCCTTGAAATTAGAGGCTATGATGCTAACTATTTGTCGTACCATAACTATCCCAACCTTCTCGTCCTCAGTGTTTCTCTTGTTTCTATGGCTTGTGCTACTGCAAACCTCTCAAACTGAGTTAAGCCCTGGAAAAATAAACTGTGCAGAGGAATACTAATCTTGGGGTGGATTTAGTAAGATTTTCATGGTGTCCACTTTCTGTGATCATATCAAAGATTATATTTTTTTCCTGGGTTGGGGGGGGTGTTCAAAGGAATGCATGCATTCCAATTTAAATTCAGGGTTATTGGATGTTTCACTATGCATACTGTTCTGCAATACAAGGTAGCTCTGTCTGTACTTGTGGTAGTGTCTCCAGCGGTTGACGTTGCTTATTGCTGTGACTTAGATTTGTGGAAAAGGATGTTTCACATCAAGCTGGTGATGACTGAGATTGATGCCCACATTTAGGAGCCTGTCTTGTCTTCCAAAATCTCGCTGATCCTTTGTCTGAAAAAAATCACAATTATGTGGTGTGGCAGTAGCATGTCTGTACCTGTGCTAAAGTTTTATTATAAGTAGTGTAGTCAATACAATTGACTCACCTTACCCTTGAGTAGTCATCTTGCAGCTAGTCAGATTAATTGGTTTTGATTTCATTGGCTAATAGATGAGATCTTCATTAACTACAGCGGGTTTACAGGCTTACACACCTTAATTCAGGTGCCTATCTGTAGGTGTCTTAATCTTTAAATACTGTCTTGTATTCCTTATGGTAGTGCAAGTACAGGGTCTTGTCTTTCCAAGTATGTTCTGGATATATCCTGATGAGATTGCTAGTTATGTTTGTTTTTTTTTTTCAGATTTGATGCTTTTTTTTAAAAGCAGGTGATAAAAAACTCAGCTTGGTTTGTAGAGGGGTGGTGAAGAATGTGCTTGCTTTAAATCTCTGACACTATTGATTTCCTTTGTATAACGAAATATATGCAAATATCCTTTCAGGATGAACAGGCAAGTAAAAGACTATGTAGACACCACGAATTCAGCTGTAGCTGTTCCTACTGCAGTGGGTAGTGAAGGTAGTGTGGGGCACCACACACGAAACCATTCATTTTGCTGCTTCCCAGATGGTCTGGCATTTGGACTCTTCAGGCTTTTTCTAAAGACCTTGTTTTATGTAGTTTTATGCAGTTTTTTTCTCTTTAGGTAACACGATACTTTCTAACAGTTCACATCTCCAGGATAGCCTTAGTATTTAATTTAGTTCTAAATAAATCTACTATCTATAGTGCTGTTTGATAGTATTGTTGTAGTGCTTATTGCACAGTGTCTAATCCAAGACTGCACAAGAATCTTGCTGTCAAACATCTCCCTTGGAAAACTGTCTTGCTGCAATACCACTAAGTACAGAGCTTGCTGCAGTTTCTGTTACAGTAGTTCTGCATGCAGCTGTCTGTGCCCAGCCCCACTCAGTGCTGCTTGTCCCATTCTACCTCAACTCCCAGGATGTCCTCCCAAAGGCAGGACAATATTGTCTCTTCTTACCATGTTTGGTAATCCTTTTCCATTTCCCAGCAGAATGCAGGGTCATCAGGTGGTGTCTGAATCCTGGTTTGTGATGTTTGGGGTTGTTTTTTGTTGGGATGGTGGACCCTAAGGAAGGAAGACGACATTCTTAGTCCCCCTGTTTACCTTGTAGTTCACTTCCCATGTCACTGATAAGTCCTAGTCCTCTAGTAAGTTTAGGGTGATTGTGGACAGAGGTTAATATGGAGAGCAGAAAAGAGTCCTGTCTTCCCAAAGTCCCTCCAACTCTTTTTCTGGTGGGGAAAAAGAAGTTGTGGTATGGCAGTAACATTATCTTTTTACTTCTGCCTTTTAAGTTTACTACTGGTCCTTAAATTACAAGAGAGTTAAGGATAAAGCTGTTCAGTTATGAGATGTTAGGTTTGGAGTTTCAGACACTAAATGGGTTTCTTTATCAACTGTAAATCTAAGATATTGATTAAAATCTCCTTCAAAATAGGACTCTCTCCTCCATGGGCTTTAGCATTTATTCTAGAGACCTCAGGTATGCCTGGTTTTGGTTCTAAGCATAAATCAAGTTGATGCTTCTTGAGGCAAAAATAATCTGCATCTTTAATTAAGACTAGGGGAGTACCTGTTATATTTAGGAAGCTGCATGCTGAATGCATATTTAGATTTTTTATTTTATTTTTTCCTTCAACTGTATCTGCTAATAACCTGTTTTCTTTTGCAGAACCGTGTGATAATATGAGAGAGATTCTCCAAAATGTGGCCAAATTACAAGGCGTTTCAAATATGAGAAAACTTGGTCACTTGAATAATTTTACGAAGGTAAGAGCTCTAATGGTGTCATAGAACAACTGATCATACAGGCAAAATATTTTATATGTATGCTATGAAACATTGGCTGGGAGATTCATGAAACAGCTTAATATCATGGAACAGTACTTCAAGTCTACATACTGTGGAAGAGGAAAGGAGCAAATAAGGACAAGCAAATATCTGAATGCAGGGTTATGCTGAAGTTTGTCTACATGTCCTACTGGCTGAATTTTTGTAGTATTTTAGTGCTTAGAAGCCTGAAATATCTCCCAGTTAATGGTTTTAAGTTGCACAAACAGAGCTAAAGATTGGTTCCTGCTCCACAGAATTGAATCAAAAATGCCAGACTTCCTGGATTTAAACTGACAAAGTATGGTGAGGGGGAGGACTGTATCAATGAGCATGATATGTGGTGGTTTGGACCTTGACAGGCTTGAGAGATGGGCCCACGCGAACTGCATGAACTTCAACAAGGCCAAGTGCAAAGTCCTGCTCATGTGTCAGCATAATCCCAAGCACAACTACAGGCTGAGCAGAGAATGGATTGAGAGCAGCCCTGAGGAGAAGGACTTGGGGGTGTTGGTTGATGAGAAGCTCAATGTGACCCAGCAATGTTTGCTTGCAGCCCAGAAAGCCACTGGGATCCTGGGCTACATCAAAAACAGCATGGCCAGCAGGTCGAGGGAGGTGATTCTGCCCCTCTAGTCTGCTCTGGTGAGACCTCACCTGGAGTACTGCGTCCAGCTCTGGGGGCCACAGTACAAGACAGACTTGACAAGTACAAGACAAGCTGTTGGAGTGAGTCCAGAGGAAGGCCACAAAGTTGATCAGAGGGCTGGAACACCTCTCCTATGAGGACAGGCTGAGAGGGTTGGGGTTGTTCAGCCTGGAGAAGAGAAGGCTCTGGGGAGACCTAATTGAAGCCTTTCAGTACCAAAACAGGGCCTCCAGGAAAGCTGGAGAGGGACTGTTTATCAGGGAGTGTAGTGATAGGACAAAGGGTAATGGGTTTGAACTAAAAGAGGGTAGATTTAGATTAGATGTTAGGAAGAAACTCACCCTGTGAGAGTGGTGAGGCACTGGAAGCTTCCCAGAGAAGCTGTGGATGCCCCCTCCCTGGAAGGGTTCAAGACCAGGTTGGATGGGGCTTTAGGCAACCTGGTCTAGTGGAGGGTGTCCCTGCCCATGGCAGGGGAGTTGGAACTAGATGGTCTTTGAGGTCCCTTCCAACCCAAACCATTTTGTGATAGTAGAATAGCAACCATCAACTTCCACTGCAGTTTTCATAGTGAAGATAGAATCATAGAATGGCTTGGGCTTAAGATTTAAAGGGGCAATTCCTAGAAATGGTCTGTATTACTGCTTTTTGAGGCGCTTTTTCCTACATGCTTCCAGATCACGTGAATGTGACAGGTACTTGCCTGAAAGTATAACAGATATGTTGGAAGCTCTCATTGTGAGCTGACAGGGGGCAAGAATTAAAAACTTAGTGCAGGATGAGCATGTAGGCTGAAGAAAAATCCATGAAAGGCCTTCAGAAGAGAGGAAGTACCATTTTTTTTGGGTAGATGGGAATCTGTGGAGAGGCACAGAGAGAAGTGATGGGAGGTGGACAGGAAGTTAGGAAAAGGGTGTTTGTAGCATACTGAATGGTTGTGGTTGGATCGGTGTTCCATTTGTCAAGGCAAGGGACAAGTGCATTGAAGTCGGTGAGCTAGGAGACATTGAAGCTTCAGTGTGAGTGTTACCTGAATGGATGGACTGATACTCAGAAAGAGCTGGTAAGTTGTACACCTTTCTGATAAAAGTGTAACAGATAGGGCAACATGCCTGAAGATGCAACCCAAGCTTCTGTGACGGGGTCCTGCAATCAGCAGTAGCCAAGAAACAAGGTAGTAGTGGAGAATTTTGTTGGTAAAGTAAGGTTTAAATTGTTGTTGTTGTAGATGAGCTGCTAACAAATCATTGAGTAAGATAACCTGGAGGCTACTTCACAGTTTTGAGACAATCTCAAGTGAAAGAAACCTGCTCAAGGGCAGGTTTGGGGGACCAATTGATATGAGGACAAATATGCATGATAATTTTTGAAGTAGGCATGCTTCTTGGCTGTTAAAAGCACTCCTTGTAAGACTGCACAATACTTCAGTGGTAGTGTATGAGATTCAGTTAGCAGGAGGGTGAGTACTGAGAACAAAAATCACAAAAGCACATAAATTTATCTTCTAGTGTATTAATAACAAGTCTGTAAATGCTCTATTTTTCCAGATGGTTCAGAGCACATGTAGGTACATAGTATTCACTGAGGAACTGAATTTACACTGAAATCTTTTCTTTTGGTCCTTGCCTTACTGTGTGTGTCAGTCTGTCAGACATCCACCATTAACAAAATGCTGCTGTTCTTACTGAGATTCCAAACTATGTTGCAAGAAAGCCCTTTATTCTACTAGAAAAGGCCAATGGTTAGCTGTGCTTCCTTTTTGTGCTAATCTGGAAACTTTTAAGTGTGAGTGCTTCCAGATTCTCTAGCTGCCTTAAAATCAAAGAGCTGGATTAGGCTTGCAGATGCATGATTCCTAGTGAAAAGTCAATATTTGAAACTATGGATCTTAAAACAGTGTTGATTTTACTACTGAAAATCAGATGTTAAGCACCTCCAAATGTGCTAAATTAGTAAATATATTAACTGTAATTAAAGGATGAACCAAAAATTCTTTTTAAGATATAGTTTTGAAAAATTGAATAATTCCATAATTGAATATTTGAAGACTTTGTTCCTTATATTTAACCTGGTGTTAAAAATGGAAAATACTTACAAAAAGACAAGGAAGGCTTCCATAAATTGGACTGAAGACTGGCAAGAAATGACGAATATGTGAAAAGCAAGTCGCAGAAATTACATACAACTTTTTAAGACAGAGACTGTAGTTCATATCCTAGTTTTGATCCTGAACCAATGTCACTCTGGATAAGGGAATCATCCTACTCTGTTTAATATGTGGCACTTGTTCTTACACTCTTCTCCCTTGAATATCTGCTTTATAAATGTATAACTTAAACATTTGGTTTTAAAAACTCTTCCTATTTTTATTTGAACTGTAAATGCAGTTATGAAAATAGAATAAAAGTTGCAAATTGTATTGTCTGCCTTGTGGTATGAACAATTCTGTGTGTTTCATTCCAGTGGTTAAGAGTGAAAGCCTGGAGCTTCAGGGAGATTATTTTATTTCCTTTTTGCACTCTGGTTTTCTACCATGAATTGATAAAGTCTCAGTTCCCCCTTTGTGAGATAGTGTGGGGAAGATAGATGTGCTGAGGGCTGAGGATGTTTGTATCCTGTCTTGGAATTATTTGCAGATGAACTTAATTTGTTTGTAAAATCCTGCATTTTATGGTCCAAAGCTACTAGTTATCTAGGATATTTCCTGTATGGACAGGGAAATGACTTTTTTTTTATAGCATATTTCTGATAATACAGAAAATCTATAAAATTTAATTTTCCTGCTAGGAATATTATTATACTTAAAGTGTCAGCACCGGTCTTAGCAGTTGCTCCCCAATGCCTCAAATTTTTCCTTCAAAGACTGAGCAAATCTTGCATTTGGAAGAAATACTACTTAATTTTTTTTGGTCAGGGGAAGCAAAATATTTGTATTCATGTGGAAACAAGTTAACATGCACTTTCCTGACAGAGATCATGGTAGACATTAAGTTTTGTATTAATGTCAAGATACCTGAGGTATGTTAGGTTCAACTCTCTTTACTTGAAAGAGGACTAGATTTTTAAGGTGGGGCCTGGTCCCATGTCCCCCCTCCTTTGTTTAAGGAGAAGGAAAGTCGTCTTCACCCTTTAAAAATTACTGAACTACACTCCAGGATTTTATGCGGAAGTTCAATACTCTAAATAGAATTTATTAAAATGACGATGATAACACGATTTGTTACTGTATGTGCGAGAGTGATACAGATATTTTGTATGTCTAAGAGACGTAACTCCCTTTTCATTTTTCTTTCCCTTCAAGAGAAGTGTAACTCAGCATCTATACTTACGGTGCAAAGTACGCTGTATACATGATTTTTTTGTAAAACTGTATTTCATTCATTAAGTTTTAGCTAGTGCTTCTTTGTGAACATTAAGGTTTTAACTTGCTTGGCTCCTTGGCTGCAGAACATGGGTTGCTCTTGCCCAACAGGTGCTCTAAGTTTTCTGCTCCAAGAAATTTGCATTCCCAGTGTGGTGATACTCAGGCTATGGAAAGGTACACTTATTTCTGAACTACAGCAGTGGCAGACTTAGATTTTTCTCCTCATCTGCTGCTCTTCACCTAAGAAGTGAAGCTGCAGTTTTCTGGGCAAAAATGTTTATGAAGTACTGCCTAATCTGTATCAGACAAAAATAATCTTGTTCCTTTCAAACCACTTGTATCCCTATTTAAGCTAGCCTGAATTTTGACCTGAAAGCTGTATGAAGATTTGACCTCTAGTACATGGTCAGTGATGCTTTTTGTCATTGCAGCAGTTCGCAGGCTTAGTATATGCCTTTGACTTCAGTAAGCTGAGTAAATTACCCATCTGTCATGTATATGGCCAATTACATAAAGCAAGCACCTTCAAGTTTGTCAGCTTCTGCTGATTAATGCCAAAATATCATGGTTACTTCTTTGGAGTTTTCCCCACCCCCATGAGAAACAGTAAGTGATAAATTACAGAAAATCAGAAGGAACTGTAAATGCAATTGTATCTAGTGGAAAATAACTTTTGGCTTTTAAGTATTTATTTAGAATCCTTTATTATAGAAGGCTTATACCACTGTTAGCTTGTGAAGGATCCTTTATATCTTTTTTTTTTAAAGCCTATCTAAATAATGAACAGAAAAAAAGATCCACAGATGTGGATCTTAGTAACTGAATAGCATCAGTGATATGGAGAATTATATTTTCAGTCTGCTCAAAACTAATTTATTATTTAACGAGGCTTTACTATTCTGCTTTATATATCTGTTAGCTTTTGACCATGCTGCTAAATTTCATTGGGATATGGATTGAGTTTGAGGCTATAGAAGTTTTCACAGATTCTGTCTTTGATTCATAGTCCATCATTTTAGAGCCTCAGCTGTCCTTTGCAAAGCCTAGGTATCTTGGAATCTGAATATGGTGTTGACTGACTGTAGCATTCATCCAAGTAGCTAAACCACTATGGGTAAAACTTGAAATCTCATGATGAAGTATGTAGCAGATGGGAACAGAACCATCTGTTTAGGGGCATTCAGCTGTGGCGCAAACCTGGAGAGCTAATTGGTCTAAAAACAGAATCTGCAATTTCAGTAGGGGCTTCTTTTAAGACTGGGGTCTACTAAGTAGTTTCCTCATGTGTATTACCAGTGATGGTTCAAACTGTATTTCCAAAATTATGGTATAATAATTACATTTTGGATGCATAGAATAATACCATACTCTTACCTAGTAATTGCTGTGACTATTCTGTTAAATATAAATTTGAATGGTCTCAGTGTGCAGTCAACTTGTATATGCTGTTGACCTCCTGTGGTTTTGTTGTTTTGAGCTACTGTTTCCAAGACATGTTGATATGTTACTCATATTGCTATGACTCATCCAAGTAGCATGAAAAACTCATAGCTGACAGTAAACATAAAAAAACCCCCTTCACTTTAAGTTAGTCACTGTCTGGCCTAGAGTAAGTACCGTTTTGTCCTAATAATAAATCATATCCTCAAAGAGTCTGTGCTATTCCTATTCATTGTCTATAACATAAAAAAATACTGAATTTTAGGGTTGATTTATTGGTAGTTTTAAGAAGCAAAGTATACTCTGTGTGTATATAAAATTCATTGTGGTATGTATATAAATATATACGTTTTTTATATAAGATACATATGTATGAAAAGTGTATTTGCGAAATTCCAGGCATTTACATGATATGATAATCCATTGCCATTTCAGTGAAATACAGCTATGTACGGCCAAAAGCAGATTTTAGTGTTCTAGTGCTGCTTGCCTACAGACTTATACTACAATAATATGCGTGTTAATTGGTAATGTTACAGTCAAACATATGACAGTTGCTTGACTTTGTCAAGAATTCAGCAGTCTACAAAAATCACTGCGTTTGGGCCGGAATCATTGACCTGCTTAAAGCTGTTTGAAGATGAAATGAGAAGAAAGTGGCAAGTTTTCCCTTTAGTATATTTAAGACCAGACATTTATAACTAAGCAAATATCCAAAGCATTGAGACCAGCTAAACAGTATCTTCTTTATAGCAGCTTCTGTGACTTTTTTCCCCCCTTTTAAACATATATCAATCCAACCTTATTTCTGTCAGGCTTTTTTTCCTAGACTAAATAAACCCAATGGCTCAGCCTTCATGGGTGTATTTTCTAACTGCCTTGTACATTTTACTGCTACAATTTTCCAGTTTGTCTGCTCTTAAAATGTGGCACCCAAAATTTTGTTTTTAATCCAGTTTTGAGAGCAGCCTGTGAACTGGAAAAAAAGTCTCTTACTAATAAGACTGCATTATGTTTGATATTACTTCCAGAGGTAAAATTTCCTTTTTTTTCTGAAATGACATCACATTAATTCATTTAGTTTATAGCTTGCTGTAACTTACAGATCTTGCTTTCCTTTTGAAATTTATTTTTTTACTTAACATTCTGAATGTTTTCTGGACACTTTGTATTTGTCTGCCGGGCTCCTTTCAGTTTGTGTCTGTTCATGTAAGTTGCCCTGAAGGATATGAGAAGTTGTTCCTTTAATTTAATTGAATTTTCTTAATAAGTTTGGACACTCCTTACAAATCACTGAAACATTCTGATCTTGCTGTCCATCTTTTAAATTTTTTTCAATCTGAAAGTCCTGTAGGCACACTACCATGTGTAAATTGCCAGTGCATAAGTAGTGGTGGTCCATTGAAATGAAAGTAAACTAATAGTTGAAGTAGCTAATCTTGTACTTAGTATTTTAGCCAATTTTATGTGCTCATTTTCTAGAGAAGTATTTCACATCTACACACAGACACCATCAAACACTTGGGTACAAATTTCTGAATGTGATGATAATTATTGTTATACACAGTGGTTAAACGTGATGAAAGTTATAACTATCGTCAGGTTACACGACTACATTTTAATTTCAAGATAAGGTCAAATTTCTTTCTACATCAGTGAGGGTGTGCACAGTGGGAGCACATATATAGAGGAAAACAGTTGGTAATGAGGAGCTAATAACCACACTATATGTATTTGGTAAGAGTGGTTACTGACAACTAGACTAGAGGTAGTCTAGTGAACTGAAGGCTCTTTAGCAATTGCAGCAAGTTAGGTGGGTTCCTGGAACACATCATCTGCTTTAGTTTCATCTCGGGACCGCTCAAGATGCAAACCAAAGGTAAGTGTGATGATTGGAGACTTGCTTCAGAAATGCATGAGTGTGCGCAAAAGCAGCTTTCTCAGAACTGTTTTTTCCTACTTCAGAATTACAATTCTGTTGGTTTTCTTTCAAGTAGGAAAAAAGACTGTTGAAGATAATCTGGTATGTTAAATTAGGATTTCTCACTTGTGTCTGGGGTGGAATGATGGGGAAAGGTTTAGATGTATAAGTGATAAGCCTAAACAACTATTGATGTACTTGTCTGAAACTGAACAATGAACTGGTTTTACTCACTGTCTTCTCACACTGTTTTGCTTACACTCTACCAGCCAATTTTTACAGTTCATAAGATGTCAATAGAAATGCTAAAGCAGCAGTGGTGGCCTTAGGCAGTCCAACAACTTAGCACAAAAATAGATTGAAGCTAGGAAGTGACATACTGTCATAAGCAGTTAATGCACCAATTGTCTAGTTTTATTATCACTTAAATTTGAAAGGGGAGGGGAAGAGATTATATAATAACTTTTTTATGTTTTATAATCATCTTTGGTTATGGTCACTGTTAAGAAAAATGCAAAATCCAAAATATTTCAATTAACGTAGATTATTTGAGCCCAAATGTGGAGCTGATGCAGGCCAATTTCATAACCTGTCTCATTAACAACTTTTGGATTTCACTATGCATTTTTCTCACAATATGAAAAATAATTTCTTAAAATGTAATTTTTAGGTGTTGAGTATAAACCTAAGTATTGTTTGAATTTAAACCATCATGCTAATAAAATGAGTTTACTTAAAAGCAGAGTTTCTGTGCAATATGCTGGTTTTTCAGGTGGAGGTGAGCAGTAGAAAGGGAGCATGGAACATGTTAAACATTTCAACTTATACTAGCCCTAATTTAACTGTTTGTTTAGTTTATTATAATTTTCTTAGCATTACCAGTACATACATATAAAGAACGTGGCACAGGGTTTGATGTATTTTAATACTTTCAGAGCAGGGTTATTCACTAGTTAGCACTAAATTCCTAGCTAGCACTGAATTCCTCACTAAGGAGGAACTGTTAATACTGCACTAGCTCAGAACTGAACATGTCTGTCTCAAAAAGAGAGGACAAAGCGCAAAGCTATTGCAACCAGTATTAGCTACTTAAGTTTTTGGAAGTGCTTGGAAAAGTGCTTTGGGATTTGGACATGATTATAAAGTATTTTATATTTTTACCTAGGAGTAGTAAATGAGATTATTAGGAATTTCTTTGCCACCCTTGCAAAGGAGAACAGCATCAGCTCTTCTTGCAGAAGAGACTGTTTTTCTTTCCTTAAGAGGCTAAAACATCAGCACATGCTAGATTGCTCCTTTTGAGATTTTGGACGTAAAAACTGCACTTGTAAATCTTCCATCTTGTGTTCAAAATGGATCGATGTAGCTGAAATGTTCAGAATCTGCGACAGTTTATAGGTGTCTCTTTGTGTGTATAAATTCAACCTTTGCACTGATTTTTCCAGATGTACAAGTTCTACGGAATCAATGCAGGCCAGCCCAAAAGTCGGTTATGGAGCACTTATCGTTAACACCAGCTTTTGATCTGTACTGCTGTGGCAAAACATGGCAGTGGACCATCAGGGTCAATCTCTGCTCCAAAACTCTCATCCAAGCCTTCTTTTTGAATGCAGATGTGCTTTGACTTTAGTCTTTGTGGTCTCTGCTCAGATTACCAATTGCCCAACTACTGCCTCTTCTGAAAAGAGCTTAAAGGCAGCATGAGGAGCCATCCAAAGTTGAAAACCTGACCAGCAGGCAGTTTACACGATTGTGCAAGCTTTGTTCCAGTATGAGAGGCCACAGAACTGTGTGTCTGGCCTGTATAGGAACAGAATACTGACAGCAAAATTCTCAAAAGTCTGAAATTGATATGCTTCCCATTGCCATGAATGAAATTCCTCTAGTTTATTTGAAAGTATTGCCAGAAATATACAGTTTTGTGTAGTCATTTATAAAGAATTAAAAATAATAGATGTTTTCTTTTGTTTTCAGCTTCTTTGTAATACTGGCCATGCTGAAGAAAAGCTAGGTTTTACATATGACAGCATCATAATATGGTAAGTAGTAAGGACAACTAGAGCAATACCAGGGTACTTTAATTGTTCTAGGTCCAATTAAATAAACTTTACTTTTGAGGTAGTATTTTGTATTATTAATGTGTTTGAAATGTCGCAATGCAAACATAGACTTCACAAATATTTTAATGAATAAAATCAGAAATACATTATTCACTTTCAGGCAAACAGAGGGGGAAAAAACCTCCAAGTTAAAAGCGTGGATTTCTTTATTATATTCCTCATAGACATAAAAATACCTCTGAATATCTCAGTACTTGCGGAAAGCACTTTTAGTAAAAAATGTGCACTAACAGAATTTAGAGCATACTCTTGATGTAGAATCAGGATTTAAAGATAAACATTTTCTGTTAATTTGGTGTGTATATGTGTCTTTGTAGCATTGCTTTCCCTGCTACTAAAACACCCTGTGTATGTACTTTCAAGTGGAATTTTCCTATATTTTGTTGCCATTTCTGACAGTCAAAAGTAACTACATGCTTTTTTCCAGAACTTCTGTTTTTACACAGACATGGGTAAATTTGTCCTGAGGCTCAGCATTGGTGGCAGAAACAACTAAGATCTAGTATTTAATATGAATTTGTGTTCTTTCAATTTAGTTGTCAGACTTATGAAAGCAAGCTTAGAAAAGCTAGTCACTCTTTAAGTAAAATGTTGGGAAAACTTGGGTCATTTCTTGTGGAAATACTGTAAGTTGTTCTCTTCAATGGAACTGATTTTCCTTGGTAGAACTAAAAAAATTTAAAAAATGTTAGTGTATCTTTGTGAATGCATATTTTGCTATAAGCTTTTATAGGGTATCTTCTGATCTTATTTATGTAATCTATTGTAGTGCTTTATGATGGGACTAAACATCATTTAAGAGTGTAACTTCAAAATTCGCAGTTCTATACCAAATGTTTTTAAATGCAAGCCTTAAAAGGTTGTGCGAATACTAGTGGTTTTATAGGAAGAAGTTTGCAGGAAGATCTGCTAATCCAAACACAGTTATGGATATTGAAAAGGAAGAGAGAAAAATGTTGTTCTCAGCAGACACATGAGGAAAAAAATAGCCACCTAATTAGAAAAATGCAAAAAATGGCTTCTCAGAAAAATAAAGACTTATAGCTGGAAAATGAACTTGGTTAGTGTCGTTACTGTCGTCAGTCCAATGGTTCCTTTGTGTATGTACACGAGAAGCAAATTTTTAAAATTGCAGTAGATTGTTCTGCTGTAGAGGTAATTTTCACACTGAAGGTAACACTCAAATGTTCACATTTTAACAACCATAATCAGGCTGATTTGGTGGGTCTTCAGAAGTATTTGTACGATGGATTGTTTTCATGAAATAGAGATTTTTTCGGACAAACTTAAAACTTCTGGTCTACAGAGTTGTAGCCATTCTGCAGTAGTATTGTTTGTAGGTTATTTTTCTGTACAGTATACAGCCATTCTGACTAACTTGTAAATACTGAACTTCTTAATTTTGGAAATGACCTTTGAGTAGGCTAAGTATTCCTTTGCAAATAACGTGCAAGTTCTGTAATTTACTCTGCTGATGTTCCCAAAGTTATCTTAGATTTCCATAGAAAACCTTTTTGTTCGACAGAACAAACTTGTTTTCCTTTGAAAATGTGAAAAGTTATTTGGATGTGAGAAATACTTTGAGTTTTCTGCATTTGTGAAGTATGAATGGCTAACCTTAAAGCATTAAACTATAAGGGAATCAATGATTTCAAGAATAATTATAGATTTCCTATAAAGTTCTAGCTTTTGAGGCAGTAACCTTGATCGAATTTTTACCCAAGCAAGACGGTTGCAGTCTGCAATAGTTGCAATTATTCTTGAGTTAGAGATCTGTTTTCTAGAACTCATTCTCTTTTTAGAATTTTGTTAGTCCAGGTGCCTGATCATAGTTTATTAGTGACACATTTTGTTATCATTCCCAGTGTAGATAGGTCTTCCCAGTTCCCAGAGCTCCATACCATTCACAGATGAGAGCAAGCCTTGAGCCATCAGGAAATTGGATTGTTGGCAGGCCTCAAACTTTTGAGGTCTTCTAGTAATGGGCTAAGAGCCTCTGGCCATAAAAGCAAAAGTCACAGTTACCTGGCTGGATCAAACAGATTTGTCAAACCATGGTTATTTTTCTGTAATGAGTGGATGAGATGCTTTAGAAAAAGGTGCTAGAATGATTCTGTAATAGGTAGTGAGTATCCATCCTTTGTTCTTCCAGACTTTTTATGTTAATTTTTATCAGCCTTAATGCTGTCTTAGAAGTTATTTTCGTTTCTGCAGTGACACTTAAAATACTAGGGCAAGTTGTATTGCACTTTTTCTCATACGTAATCTTGTTGTCTTTGGCACTTTCAGCCCCAGATGCATGTGGAGTGTGCATATCAAAATAAATGTCTTGCTCTGGCTATTTTAGAAACATGTAGTATAGGTTTATAACACGGTTTTTGTCCTGGTGTGTGTTAATTTACACCTAACAATCTTTCTTTGCTGTCTTGTTAACTATACATACATATAACTTTTAAGTTCCCTTGAAGCTTCTTGTAACCCCATCCTATTTTTTATTAATATAAACTATGTTGCCCTCTGTATTTCTGCCCCACCCCCAGCTTCCTCCAAATCAAGAATTGTATACTAAATGCTGCCTACCAAAGCAGATTGTGAACCTGGATAAAACCAGGCCAAAAGTTGTCAGGATAAAAATCTTCGATTCAGCTCTCCTCTTTGAATTTATCTTTTCATAATTTGATTTGTGAAACTACATTTCATCACTCTCTAATCTCTTTATATCCCTTAATACAATCTGCAGCAACACCTTATGCCTTTTTACACACTATTGCAATAACTCCTTTCAAGTCAATAGAATATAGTTTATGTAAACTGTACTGGGTGCTTCACATGGCTAACCAGTTTTATTTTAAGGTCTTTATTTTAAGATCATAAACAGTCCTCTGGATGCCCTTTGGAATCCTTTTTGTATAGACCTGTTTATCACCTTTTCTTCATCTTGGACATTACGGTTTATAATACAGTGTTAGCACATATATGCAGATAGTTCATGTTAATGATCTTTCTAAACACTTAGATGTGAAGCTTGGTGGGCTGCTGACAATACTTACTGATAGATTTCCTCCAGTTCATCCATCATTTTCACTTCTTAGTCTAACTTACATTTTCTGTAATAAAAAATACTTTAGGATAGGAATCTTCATGCAGATCTCTAAAGCAATGGCTTAATATGAAGAAAATGCTTGTTTCTGTCATACTTCTGTCAGTCTTTTACTTGCTTCATTCCTTCTCCTTTTTCTTTTGGGTTATCCAGTGGGCCTGGGTTTAATTTTTCAAGTTTTCTCCTTGTGGTACAGCTGAGAAGTCAGAACACAGACGTACACAGACGCACATGTAGGTTTTCCTACATATGTTTTTTCCTGTATGCTATAACATATCTTCATTGTTTTTATAAGGTTAGGTTTCTCTCAGGTTTTTGCAGTTCAGTCATTAACTGGTGAGGTTTCTTGTTTAGTTTTTGTTTTTAATGGAGAGATTTTTGTTCAGCTTTGTACACTTCTGTTTGTCATTGTTTTCATTGGACCTGTCTGGATTTTTGTGGTCTTTATTTTAAGGCTGTATCTGTCTGCCTAGCTGTATATATTCATTGCGTTCTCACTATTTAAAGATAACTATTAGTCTAAAGATTGTTCGGTCTGCCATTCAAGAAATGTTTGCCTCTCAAATATAAAAGTAATGTACTTACTTGGATGGGGGGGGGGGAGGAAATCTGGATTCAGTATTTGTCCTAATAAGAAAGGTCATGGATAGCAACAACATGGTTTGCATGAGTAATGGATAACTTCTGCCCTAAAAGGAAACTCTGCTGAAGTGTCTTAAACTGGCATATACAAACCAATTGTAAACTGTGAGGTAAAAGTCCAGTAGAAAAACACCATTGAATAGAACTGAGTCTTATGTGCTCGTCTATCAGACTTCTAACTCTACAAAGCTGCGAAACTAGAAACAAAGCCTGATTCATGATCTAAAGAATACCTATCATCTACTTGGCGTAATTGAAGAGTTACTTGTCTGCTTTTCTTGAATGACTTTGGAAATAAATCTCTCTTCTAGTACAGTTTTTCTTAGAGGAATAATTTTTCTTAACCTCACAGTATTGAGAATCTGTTTCTCATTTGCTTCTAGCTCAGCTTAAAATAAATAAATAAAGACAATTAGTGGCACTCTTTTTATGTGAAGAATCATATTGGATATTGCAGCAAAGATGGTCTTCCTGAGGTAATTCCCTACTTGATGCTGAAAGTTGTAATCAGTTCATCTTTATTTGCATGTAGTGTTGCAGCCTTTCTACTTTGTCTAGATATCACCTGGAACTGTGTTCCTGTAGGTGACGTGCACAGGCTGATTAATCTCCAGAAAGATTGACAAGACTTTTGGACTTGGAGTAGCTGATTGCTATGCACAATGGTCCCAGAATAAGAAAAGAAAAAAATAAGCCATTTCTATGGGAGGAAATTAATTGGCTGAAGTATTTACATTTTTAGATGTCCACTGAAAGAACCCTACTAAAATATGTCACTGGGAGATTGGGGGTTGGGTTTTGGTGTGTTTTGTTGTTTTTTGGGCTTGGGGGTTTTTTGAGGGCCTTCAAAAGGACAATGTGTCACTTAATACTTCAAACTCCATCTCTGGAGGCCTTCAGAGTCTCATTTACTTTTACCTAGATGGTGAATTTAGGAAATTAAATTATGATGACAGTTATGTTTAGGAAAGCTCTCCTTAGTGCAAGCAAAATGCTTTCAAAATCTGTCTAAAGAGAAATATGTTTTGATTGTATGTTAAAAATTAAATCTTTAGAAATCTCTGCTGTGTGGGGCTGCTGAAGTTGTGACTCTTGACATATTTTGTGTAAACATAACATGGTGCCATGACATCTTTAGTGAGTGGTGGGTATAATTACTTAATGTGCAAATTTGTCTCTATTAGGTATCAAAGATATTGTTTTGAGGACTCATGCTTATGGGTTGGCAGTCTCCCAGAGGAGGAAATGCTCTCTACCTCTTAATTTTCTTGGACTAATACTGTGCTCAGCTGTTTTATCAATAACAAGTTGTGTACAGGTCTTGGTCATGTATCATTTCATGGATGTACAAGCTGTTCTTTGGTGAAAAAAATGTTGGTTTGACTTTTTCGGATTAATATATTGTCTACATTGCTGGCAGAGTGAAGGTTTCCTTTCTGTGCTGTACAGGTGAATATCTCAAAGGCAGAAGATTAATGCAGAACACTGCTTTTTAAAAATCAGACTTTTTATATTAAATGAGTAGGTGGTGGCTGCATGTCAGACAGTGAAGTCTACCTGCTGCTAAATAATTGTTTGTCCCCCTTGTTTTCTTCATTGCAGTCTGAGGTTAGCTTTACTAAATGAAGCAAAAGAGGTGCGAGCAGCAGGATTGCGAGCCCTCCGCTATCTCATTCGAGACTCCAGTGTTCTCCAGAAGGTGCTAAAGTTGAAAGTGGATTACTTGATAGCCAGGTAATTTTTCTCTTCCTTCTTGTTTTAAATTGTATAATTGTAAATCACTTCCTTTTTCATGGTTGAGACAGGTGAGAAAAGATGTTTTCATATCCTCTTACATTCTTGATACGTAGTTTTATAAAAACCATTTTTCTTCAGTATGAATAAAGTCCTTTAAAAATAGAAGGAAAATACATCATACCAGGTAATCCAAATAAAATGCTGTCCTAATATATGACATACTATGAGCAATCTAAAAAATGTCTGTTTTTAAATCATAAATATCATTAATCATAAATCAATCCATGGTGTTGTTAGAAGGTTGAAATATCAGTAATTTTCATGTCTTAAGGTGTTTTTACAGGAGTTGTTCTGATTCTTTGTGTTATCATAGTGCTTCAGAGCCCCTGGTACAAAGTCAGGGCTAGAAAGTACTTCATGCCCAAGAATTTGTAATCTAAGTATAACCTGTGACACAACAGAGGAATACCAAAGGGCAAAGCAAAAATGAGATAAGATCAGCATGATGAGTGGATGTAAATACTAGCATTTCTAGTGCTTCCTATGTTAAAATCTTCTTGGATTTAATATACTGATATAGATATGTGTGTTTCTGTTTACAGATATACACACATACTCAGTTTTAGTGTGCTGTTTAATCTTATTGGAGCAAAAGGACTTTTCTGACCTGAGAACACACACAGAACATGTTGATGTGAAACATTACAAATACTTTGTTTAGTCTCATTTGAAATGATAAATGCAGCTAGCTCAGAAAACATTTGTTGAAGTCATTATGCTTTGTCATTGTATATTTAAGAACATTTAGTAGTGATTTAATCATAATGAAGATGACTGAAAAAAAATACAAACCAAAGCTAATTGACCAATCATAATGAGTATGCTTGCTGTAAGGCAGAATTTTTAAACAATCAGTCATAATTTTCTTTTTCTTCTCTTTATTCAATTGCATAAATATTAATGCAAGATGTCAACTGTTAAGGTGAAAGTTAGTGTTGCCATAAACAAAATGTGTCTTTTAACTTATTTTAGGTGCATTGACATACAGCAGAGTAATGAAGTAGAAAGAACACAAGCACTTCGATTAGTCAGAAAGGTAAAATCTAAATATTTATGGTCTTATCAGCTATGCCAGTCAGTTGTGCTGACTCTTGGTTTTCTCAATCAGCAGGTTTTTTTTCCCCACAGTCTCTAATACCTTCCCTTACTTTATCATGTGAGAAGAAATTATAGCTGATAGTTCAAAAGAGAAAAGGAAGGATAGTCCTGAGACTTGTTTTGACTTTAATCTCTTACCACTGAGACTGTCAAATGGGCTGGAAAAATTCTGCTGATTTTCCTTTGATAGAGATAATAATTTGATAAGAACCATATTAAGTTTCTTCTAATGATTTAACTTTATTGTATGTTTAATCTGTGAATTCGGGATGGGAGATTTTTCTGCCATTTGAGAAATGAGGCAAACTGGTTTTGCTGGAATTGTCAGTTTAAGGAATGCTTCTAGCCTTATTGCTTTATTGATAGAGGTTGATGCTCTCCATAGTTCTTATCTCAGGTAGATCGTAAGACATACTCTGTGGGGGTTACTGTACTGTATACCCATGATGTCTGAAGATGTGGTAGCTGCATTTTCAAGGTCATCCTAGAGAAATTGGCATATTTAGCTACTGGAGGTATTTTTTCAGGCAACATAGTATTCTGCCTTTGTATTGGACTTTACTATTCTTAATCGTGCTTAGATTATTCTACTAAGCATCTTAAGAAAAACTACCAAAGACTCGGAAAAAGTTTGTAGTAGTTGGAAGAATGGTTCCCCAATAGCACGATGTATGCGTGTATGTGGTTTTTTATATATATATTTAGGTTGAAAATACGGAATGTTGATTCCGCAATTTCTTTTCTTATAATAAGCTCACTTGGTTTCTGTCTTACAGAAGAGACAATATGCTTGATTAACAATTGCACCAAAATGAGAGTTTTAAAGCTTAAACACCACCCCCAAACCCAAACAAATAAAAACCACAACCATAAAGGAATGGATCCTTGAGGAAGTTGCAGTTTATAAAAGTTCTTTGCTAATCAGCTTTAAAAAGAACTTTGACATAGGACCAGAATAACTTATCACAGAAGATAGAATGGAAACACTTTTATAATGAATTAGTTCTATTTGCGTCAGAAACTTGTCCTCATTATTCCTGGGCTTTTTTGAGCATTTTCTTGTTGAGCAAAGACTTCTGTCTTGAAAGAAACAAGAGGAAGCAAAAGAAATAAATCCATTAGTTTGATTTGAAAAAATGATTCTGAAAGATAAGCTTTAAAATATACAGCTGGCCACCAGTGCTTTTTTCCCCTCCATCATTGTACAAGGATGCTGTGCATGGGAGGTACATGCATGGAATTTACATGCTGTACGATGATGCTGATGGTTCTTCAATGCTGAGAACTATGTTGATGAAAGATGTTTACTAACATCTTTTGCTAGCTAGAACATCCTTTTTTTTTTTTTTTTTTAACTGAAACAGAATGTCAGACAAACAAAAAGCTACTCAGCCTGGCTACCAGTAAGGTTAACACCTTTTTCATGTCCTGTGTGGGCTACAGTGGTTAAGTATGTATTGACATAGATCAGTCAGTACTTGAGAAACTCACTCTCACAAGGAATACTGTGACCTGCGTCTTGAATGGAATATTCTGTAGTTTCACACTGTCTTTTAGTTACCCTGCTCTTGCCCTTTCCCCATCTCTCCATCTCCCTCAGGATCTCAGACTCAGTGGTTTGATAGCAGGTTTCCTAAAAGATTATATAAAGGTCTAGAAGAACGGAATGAATGGCAACTAAAATGAGAGTTAATTCATTTATGCAGGAGATAATTTACTGTGAGGCGTGGAAGAGCTGAACTGGGTTCCACTGGCATCACAGAACTATTGTTTTCAGTTTCAAATTCTGGATGCAATTTTCATTTTTGATAGCAAAAATGCCCATGTAAGAATAGCATAGATATAAAACTTTAAAATTAATACATTCTCTTGCTTCCTTTTCATAGATTGAAACAACAAAATATAGAATGTTAATCCTGTTTTATGAATTTATAAAAGGCACATAACTATAAACTTGTTGAAAAAATATGCAGATTAAAGTAGTATATGAAGAGAAAAGAAAAACAGTTTTAAACTTTTTAAACTGGTTTTCTGATATTTTTGTGAAGGCTTTGAGTGCTCACTGCCTTTTGACTGTAATCACTTCTACATTTCCTAGTAACAGCTTTGCAATTTAGCAGTGTCTTCAGCCATGAAAAGGATGGCATAAAGTTGCTTCAGAAAGCATTCTTCCATCTAATATAAAAAAAGGTCGTATTGATTTCTAATTTAATAGGCAGGATGTTTTATTTGCAAAGCAGAAGTCAGGGTTAGAACAATATGAATCAACTTTTTTCTTCCCCTTTTTTTAAAGGAATTTTTAAAGACAAAATTCAGTCTTTGTTACTTACTGCATTACAGCTGCTTGTAAGTAGCTTTGTATCTCCTGTCCTTGGTCTTTAGAACTGCATTTTAATACCTAGAGCAGAATGAAAACAAATGCAAAAGTTTTTCTTTATTAATATACTTGGAACAGATTCATAAAAGAAAGAAATCATTCGTTTTCATGCCTTAAAACCAAGGAAAACAATGAAGCAGAACACACTTAAGAGACTGCTTGTGTTCTCACACTGACTACATGTCAATATCAGTAGAAAAAAGGTTATAATTTTGTAGAGTGGACTGATACACCCATTCAGTTACTAATTCTTGTACTTCATGCCACTGTAAAAGTGAAAGACCGCGTGGGTGGGGAAGAGTTTGTTTTTTCTTTAGAGTCCTATCTTAAAGCTTCCTGTTTTGTGGGTGACAACATTATATATGACAAGAAGTTTCTCAAAAAACACATCTTAAATAAAATTGTTGAAGTGTTCCAGTGTATTGGTCATAATGGTTGATCTCATTTTAACATCCTCTGCAAAAAAGATAAAACAATCCCCTTTGTCTAACTAAATATCTGTAAGACATCTAAGGGAGCTGTAAAATGAATATAGGACAAAATTTTGAAAAAATGAGATGAAGACTGCTTTTGTTGGAAACAAAAGGGATATTAAACAAAACCTTGGAAAACTAACTTTTTAGGTGTTTGGATATTGAGTATTTTTTTACATGTCACTTTTATTGGTAGAAAAAATGTGACATGGTTGAGTGGGCTATAACACATTATGCTGTTCCCTTTTTAAGCAGTCAGACAAAAAAGCCTACTTCCTCCTTAGTAATATGTATATGGTGATTATGTATATGTAATTTTTGCAAACTATGAAAAAATGTGAACAAACACCTACTCAGCCTTTGTAGTCAAAGCCTCATTTGGGAGAGGGCAAGGAGTGCTGATATTGGTTGGTTGTTTTGGAGTGGGGTTTTTTGCCTTTAATGTGTGCAGAGGGTCTTGCTCCTTAATCTGGTGTAAATTCTGATTGTCCTAAATTAGCAGCTGAGGATTTCCATGGTGCAGGACCTCTTCAGTAGTGCAAATGAGCATTGGCTATTAATATCTGTTCTTCTATTCTGTCTCAAATTTATTGCAATCTTTTTTTTTAATTGAAGGATGACTTGATTAATGGATGCAGGTCTTGTTAAACTGAAAAGCAAAGATGAAAACTTGTTTAAGGGGGGGGTGTGTGTGTGTTTTCTACCATAGCTACATTACTCATGATGAAGTTGAATTATGCTGCAGTTCTAGGAAGATCAAGTAGCATGGAAGAGGATATTGAGGTGTTACTGACAGTTGCATTCCAAATACCATAGCAGCTTCTCCTGTTGCTGTCCTTTTTGGTAGTCTGCAGCAATCTAAGGATCTCACCACAAACAGGAGATTTAGACTTGGTTAATTGAACTTGGCTAGTTGAATAGCTATTGAAGAATCTGCTGCAGTTTGAATGAATCTTCCATAAGAGTTGTAATCTAATCTATGCCATTGGATAGCATTCTTTGTTGATAAAGAAATTCTTTGGAAAAAATATGAAAAAAGTAACCATAGTTCTCTCTGCAACAGGCATCTTTTTAACTCTTTCCTATTATGATAAAATAGTATAAAAATAAACAACTGAAGCAGGAAGAGAATGGTAAAGTAAACTGACACATGAAGAATTTCAAGAACAAAAGAAATTGCTTTGAGGATTCGCCAGATACAACCAAGTAATATATGGAGTGGTCTCTCTGGCTGTATCTAGGAAACAGAATGCTGGTGAATGTGTGACTGTATAGAGAGAAATATTATGAAGAAACCAGAGGGCTTTTTCTTTCATTTTTGGCAGATGATCACTGTGAATCCTTCATTGTTCCCCAGTTCTATTACTAATTCTTTGATAGCAGTTGGAAATGATGGTCTTCAAGAAAGAGACAGAATGGTTCGAGCATGTATAGCCATTATCTGTGAACTAGGTAAGATAACTGAAAGCTAAATAAGAAAAAATTGACATGGTTGTCATCAGTTCTCTAAGAGATTCTTTTCTATGGGTTTGTATTAAATAGATTGTATTCAAATAATTACAGGTATTTGTGTAATAATGAATTAGATTTTAAATATTATTAATGTCAGTTTCATGGATTTTAGTCATTAGTTTGATATAAAACAAAATAACTCAAAATTTTTTAAGTGAAGTACCTGAAGATTTCAGGTGCTGTTCTTTCCTTTAAGACTTGCCAATTTTTTATTTGCCTTAAACGTTTCCCTGCTGCAGTTGATGTTTCTAAAACTAAGGGATTGGATGAGATGCTGACAAAAATACAAGAATTCAGTGAACTACAAAAAATTTTTCTTTAATTTTTTTGATTTTTTTTTTTACAGTAGGTACTGTGGTTAGCTGGCTTCTGGAAGTCAGTATTTGTGTCCATATAAAGGCTATCTGAACAGTGATTTATACTAACTCCCTATACTTGTATGAGGATGCTGATTTTTAAAGTTGTGCTTGTTTTGTTTTGATTTTTTTCAAATCTATCAGTGAGAAATAACTTCAGCAATGTTTTCAAGATACAAACTTCTGTTTTAAAAAAAATAAACAAACTGTTACTCTTTTATATTCTAGTTAGTATAAATATTTTATCCATGTCACTCCAGTGAAGCACAAAACCTTTAAGCAGGGAAATCCAGAAACTACTATATGGAAACTTGGTTGGAAATCAGTTGGGAAATTGCTGCACAATGCTGATTAACTGGCCAGTATTTTTGTTCATGATGAATTAATCCAAAATCTCAATTCATTGCTAATGTCAGTCAGTTCCATTAGAAGCTTTATATGTGCCTCAGCAGTGTTCAGGAAGAAAAAAATATATTTACTAAAGAGATGACAAGTTTGTCATATTGGAAGCTGTGAAATGTTTTCTTTCCTATCACTGGTAGAAGTGACATGTTTTTCTTTATCTAGCACTTCAGAATCCCGAGGTGGTGGCTCTTCGGGGTGGTTTAAGTACCATCTTGAAAAATGTGATTGATTGTCAGCTAAGCCGAATAAATGAGGCTCTGATAACTACAGTTTTGCACCTCATTAATCATCCAAAGACCCGACAATATGTGCGAGCAGATGTAGAATTAGAGGTAGGTTCAGTTTTACTTTTTTAGTGATAGAAGTTAAATATTGTATTACCAATGAAAATGTTAATTTCATCTCAGATTTCACCCTCTGTGTTAGTGCAAAATGTTTAAAATACAACGTTTTAGGCTAACAGCATAATGATTTATAAAGCAGGAATAACATGACAGATTGGAGTGGGACTGAGGAAGGGGCAAGACCCATTTAACTGTATTCTCATGTGAAAGTAATGCATGTCTTTCTTTTGTTTAGCGAATTTTAGCTCCTTACACAGATTTTCACTACAGGCATAATCCAGACACAGCAGAAGGACAACTCAAGTAAGTGTTAGTGCTGCTGCTATTTGTGCTACTAGTTGTGTTCATGGTACTGGAATTAAGCTATTTTTCTTTGCAAAGTGAAAATGAAAGCAATGAATAATACTAAAGTACTTGAAGTTGAATACAGTAGGTTAGAATGCAACTTCCAAAAATACTGTTAAGCATTTAAGGTTTAAAAGGGCTTGTTTAGCCTGGAGAAGAAAAGGTTGGGCAACACCTTCCCCTGAATAGCAGCCTTTCTAATACATATCAAAACATTATCAAGAAGATGTAGCCAGGGCCCTTGATGGTGGTGGAAGGTGGGAGGACAAGAAGCAACAGAGAGAAATTGAATTAAGAGAGGTTCCAACTTGATACAAGGGTGGGGAAAACTTTCTGTGAGGCCAGTCAAGTGTTGGAACAGTCTATCCGCAGAGGTCCTGCAGCCTTCATCCTTGATTGTTTTATGAGACCATCCTGGATAAAGCCTTGAGTATAACCTGATCTGGTCTCATAGCTGACAACTCCTTTGTGCAGGAGTTTGGACTAGAGACCTCCTGAGATTGCTTCCAACTTGAATTATTCAGGTTGTTTTAATTATCAAATGGCATTAGGTGTTTAGGTTTGGGTAGCTGAATAAGGTCCGAATCTTCAGGTCCCTGCTGTAGACTCACGGTCAGTGCGGGTGCAGGGTGTTTCATTTGACCACATACTGGTGTTTACTTTGATTTTTATCTTCTTACCGTAGAAACTCCCCTGGAAAAGGAAAAGTAACAATACTTAAAATTTCAAATCTTTGTGTATGTGTATACACGTTGCATAAATACATATACACACATGTGCATACATAGAAGATTTCTCTTACTCTGGGTTTTGTCCCCCATCTGAAAAGTAGTTAACTACTTTTTCTTGCTATGTTAGTAACACTATCTGTTTTACAATAATTTACTGTCTTGTGTCATTTGCTGTTTTAATGACAGGGAGGACAGAGAAGCACGGTTCCTAGCTAGTAAAATGGGAATAGTGGCAGCATTTCGATCATGGGCAGGTAAGATTTTGTTTGTTTGTTTGAAGCTGGATGATTGGAAGAGGAATTTTACTTTCTAGTATAAAATAGTGGTTTGTTTAAACACAATTTGCCTCATTTGATATGTCTAATTTTTATTACTGACTTCCTTCAATGCTACTAAGATGTGTTTTGATACTGTAAAATTGGAGGACTCATACATAGTTTTCTTTGTCTAACTCTACTGACAAGATGCAACATTCTCCTTTGCCTTGTATAGAACACCTTATGAGTTGTACTTTGGTGCTTCTTGACATTTGATGGGTGAGATGATGTTGAAAATAACATCATAAGAATTTGCCTTTGAGATGGTTCTGCCACTACAACTAAGAAATCTTTTTGTCTGTGTGAAGAGATACCAACAGAACCAGGTGCCATAGCTGAAGAGAAATTGCAGATGGACATAGTTTGGGACTTTTCATGTAGAAGATACATCTAAGTAAAAAAAAAACCCAGGTTTTTGCATTTTCTAAATCCTTTCTCTGAAATATTACAACATCTGACATGAAGATACTGCCTTAGGGACTGCTCATTCTTTTAGTCAAGACTGTATTGCAAATAAACTAAATCAGTTCATAGGACTATTTACCAAAATTTTGAGTAGGATTTTTACAGGCAGGATTCAGACTGTATAGAAAGACTTTTTCATTGTAAGACGATTTGCTTTATTTTTTAATGTTCTGCAAATTATCACTAAGCTTAATTTAATATCTAAGTATCCTTCAAAAGTTTCTTACGTGTATTATCACTTGTTTGGGGAGGAAACTTGGGAAGTTTGTGACAACTTTGAAACTTCTAGGAAGCAGTTTCTGATAGGAGTGTTGCCACATCTTGTGTGGCCTCTTGTGCAGTTGTGGAGTCTCCTTCTCTGGAGGCATTCAAAACCTGCCTGGACATGGTCCTGTGCAACCTGCTGTAGGTGATTCTACTTGAACAGAGGGGTTGGACTAGATGGTCTCCAGACGTCCCTTCCAAGTCCTACCAATCTGTGAATCTTCCCCTACTCAGACACTTAGAACTAAAAGCATATGCTGACAGTTCAAGTGACTGAAGAAACAATTGTCTTGGAATATATTACTTGCCATGGCACTTTTGCTGTTACACATTCATCCTTTTTATATTACCTGTAATGTTGGAGACTAACATCTTAATGTTTTTAGTACAAAAATGTCCTTACACTGTCTGTCTTCCCAAATGACATGTAGCTAAACCAGGCTTGGGGTGTTCTTTGGTTTTGTTTTAGCTTTTCATGTAGGTTTTTTTGCCTCTGTCCTATCTCCTGAGTTCTCAACAAAGAAGAAAAGGAGACTTATAGTCATAGGGGACTCCCATGTGAAGGGTACAGAGGGCTCGATATGCAGGGCAGACCCTCCTCTCAGAAGTCTGCTGCCTCCCCAGGCCCCTTGTCAAGGACATCGCTAGGAAACTCCCCAGCCTGTTACAGCCCTCTGACTATTACCCACTGCTGCTCCTCCATGTGGGTGGGGAGGAAGCAGAGGTACACACCACAAAAGGGATCAAAAGGGACTTCAGGCTCTTAGGGCAGTCACTGAAGGATTGGGGAGCGCAGGTAATATTCTCCTCCCTCCTTCCAGTTAAGGGCAGCAATGTTGGGTGGAACAGGTGGACACAGTCCATAAATGCATGGCTCCATGGCTGGTGCCAACACCACAACTTTGGGTTCTTTGACAATGGGACGGCCTACACAGCACCGGGCCTGATGAACCCTGGTGGGATTCATCTCTCACAAAGGGGCAAGAGGATCTTTGCCCAGGAACTAGCGAGGCTCATCGACAGAGCTTTAAACTAGGCTCGAAGTGGGAGGGGGATAACATCGGGCTTGCCAGCGACATCTTATGGGATGATGTGCCCAGGTTGGAGGGACGGGGCACTGGCGAGGGCCCTCAGCCTACTGCTCAGAGATGTGCTGGATGCACTACAGCATGCTCAAAGCCTAGAGGAGACGAGCCGGGGCCTCCGGATGCAACAAGAACCAATGGGGTAACACTGGGGAGATACACCAAAAGAATCCCAGCCACCCCAGCCAATAAGTCAGCCTCATCAGGGGCACAACTGAAATGCCTCTACACGAACACATGGAGCATGGGGAATAAACAAGGGGAGGGAGACGTGTGTGCCTGCAAGGCTATGACCTTACTGGCATTACAGAGATGTGGTGGGATAGCTCCTATGACTGAAGTGTTGGGATGGAAGGGTACAGGCTCTTTAGGAAGGACAGGCAGGGGAGATGAGATGGGGGCATTGCCCTCTATGTCAATGACCAGCTGGAGTGCATGGAGCTCCACCTGGGGATGCATGAAGAGCCCACTGAGAGCCTATGGGTGAGGATTAAAGGGAGGGCTAGGGCAGGGGACATCATAGCAGGGGTCTGCTACAGGCCACCTGACCAGGG